TTTTCTTTGTATCCTGTCTTCAAATTGAATAAATTCTATCTGGATTCAAGTGTTCTGAAATAATATCCAATCTGCCTTTAAGTGCATCTGGTGAATCATTTATTTAGGATATATTACTTCTAATTTCTATCATTTCAATTTATTTATTTATATAGCTTCCACATTAACTTGTTGTTTAGTCAAACTATCTGTTCAGTCATTACAGATCAGATGTATTTCCTTTAGTCCTTTCACATATTTGTAAAGACCCTTTATCTTTTCTTTTCTTTTCTTTTCTTTTTTTTTTTTTTTGAATGAGAGAGAGAGAGATTTTTGCTAAAGGGCACATGCACTCACCGAAAAGACAGAACACTCATTATGTGCTGACTTGGGTCCTCCAATCTGTAGCTCCATCCTTTCCAAATTTCTCCCTTATTTTCTGGGCATTTGGGAAATCTCTGACATCCTTGTAAAATTTCAGGATTCTACTTCTGTGTCAGGAACCCCACATTTGAATGGGTTAAGGAGTAACCTCAGGTGGAAAACCATACAAACAGAAATATCCATCAATATCCTCTCTTCCCTTTTTTTGGAAACAATTCACTGTACATTTTATTCTACAATTTTATACACTGTCTTGTGAACGGGACTGCTTTTGTCGATGCTCTTCCAGTGTATGTCTCCTTCTAAATGGTCTTTGGATCTTTTCAATAACTATTATGATAGGTTGACATCTCTTTCTGATTGTTATCTATAAGATGATTAGTATGTGTGAGCTACTCTGTTACTATTGGAAGCAGAAATAATCTACCTATTTCTATATTGCTAACTGTGTTGAATTGTTGGCAATGAAAAAAAATCTGTTTTCCACATTTTCTTTGGCTAGATATTATGCTGTGACCACGTTTAGCCAAGAAGGGCCCTTCATGTGAGGTGATGAAGACAAGGTGGAAGCACTTCAATTTCTGTGATAGCAAGGAAGCAAAATCAGACAGACAAAATATCTGCATTTCCTGAATGGACATCCAGTATTTCCAGTTTGGTGTAAGTAGCAGAGGTGGGAATGACAGCAATGCAGTCAATAACAGCAGAACCCTGAGTTTTTAATTGAAGTCACTTTTCTGCAATTATTCAGTAGTTCTGGAGAAACAACCCAATATCACTCTTCCACTAGTTCCAGATATTTTTGTAATCACCTGATAATCTAATTGAAACATTATCTAGTTAGAATCCCTATGATGAGATTAAGTGGGTGAACTCTTGGTTTTGAGAGAGGGGATCTTCAGGAGATTAGAATCACATTAAGATTCCCCATGATTGGATACTCTTGTGTTTATAAGGAGACATGGACACAGATATGTGCATTCCTG